AATAATTATAAACAATATAAATAATTATATATATATATATATATATAATAATAATAACACAATAATATCGCCGACCTTATAAATAATATATAAATACAACCGTTGAACCATAATCTCGTATTTATACGTTTGCTTTTTCTCTTTCACAACTACAGTTTTTTTTTCATTTCCCTTTACTTTCACACATTTTCCTTCATTCAACAAAACAAAAATAACCTTGTTCAAGGTATGTGTGGATTGCGTTGGGTGTTCTAGTTGGTGCAAAAAAGTAGTAGTCGAGATTACAAATATATCTTTACCCTTATTTGCCCATTTTATAACTCGCTTCTGTTATAAATCTAAAGTTTATAATCGGCGTTTAACTTTATGTTTTCCTCCCTCTATTATATACAACAACAAGTAGTCATAGTTAGATAAAAATACTAGACAAAACCTCTTATAGAAATAAAAATTAAAAATTGCGACTAGATTACGACAAGCTTTGCGCATTGCTAGTAACCAAAAAAGAAAAAAAAATAGGTAAGTGTACGGTCTTTAAAGGAAGATCTTCATTTCTTGTAATGTAAGAATCGGCGAATGTGCATTGCATGGTTATGTATTAACCAGGCTTTCCTTTTTTTGATTACCAATTTTGGTTCGTTCTTGCAAATATGATTGTTTGCTTTCGCAGGCCTTTTTTATTTTCTAGAAAATTAATTTGGCCATTTACAATAAACTTTCACTCTCCGCTCCCATTCTGCTGTTAAAGTGAGCAGTGTATAATAACATTAGAAAGGACATTTAGAATAGTGCATTGTAAAAACATTAACGTTGAAATTTAAAAAAACCAGTTAATAAAAATAACTAGTGGTAACAATAGCAATAGATTGTTGAGAAAAATTGTGAAACTTAAAACAAAAAATACAGTTTCGATGCTCACTTTAGTGCCAAACACCGTCACCACCCAACAATTTTCCGAACACTTTCGAAATATTCATAATTCGCCGGAATCGATTAAAGGAACGATGCATGATCATGATCATCATAATAATAATAATAATAACAATAATAATAATAGCAACAGCAACAATAATCAAAAGTAATTAAGCATTTATTTATTTTTTTTCTCAATAGATTAGTATTTAAATTTTAAATATTAATATTAAGTTATCTCTTAATTTTTAGGTCTAATTTATCAGCTGGTTTTAAACGAAAGTCAATTGGAAATTTTTCGATAAATAATGGACAATCAAAATCGACTTTATCTAATCCACTACATGAAGACTCAATGTCAAATTCTTTGTCATCATCATCGACAACATCTACAGTAACCTTACTTGAAAAACCCAAAAAAATGAGGAGAGCATCTTCATCGTCAACATCATCGTCACAATCCGTTCAATCACAGGCTCCAGCGAGCTTACCAACCTGCTCAAAATCACCTTCGCCTGTACCTCTCTCTCCAACATTGGTGCCTCAAAAGTCACCACCTGAAGGACGTAAGGCCTCCATGTCTTTGAATCTTTTCAAGTCCGTGTCTGACGAAAAAAAAGCACCTCAGTTTACTTTAAGTGAAATTAGTTCTTCAACCGCAACGCGCATTGAACAATCTGGAACCGATTATTTCAGCGCTCCGTTATGTTCCTTGAACAAACAAGAGAAAAATTCAGAATCTTGTACTATCACTTCAGATGACGATTTGGATGACGAAGATTGTTCGGATTACGGCGAGAAAGACGTATTCCAGCCAGAATCGCCGCGAGCCGTTCCATTGACACCATTTGCTAATCAGGTTGGAGGTCACACTTCTTTCTTCCGATTCTCGAAGAAAGCTGTTTGCAAGCCATTATGTCGACAAGAAAATCTCTTCTATGAAACACTGGAAACGCAACATCCGGAATTATTGCCATATGTCCCTAAGTATCTTGGTGTCTTGAACGTCACGTACAAATGTCAAGGAACAAATCGATTGCCAGAAGTTGTGATCGAACAAAACAAACACATTCTGCCGCGATGGATGTTTAATAAAGTATTTGGTAATGATGAAAATAAGGATGAAAAGAAATGGCTTAATGAAGGATTGCGTGGATCAACCAGAGTCAACAATAAATTAAAGGAAGAAGTGCTCAGAGAGGTGTTATCTCCTCGCGCAATTCGTTCAAAGATACGTCAAGTACGTGCTTTACAAAAAGAACCATCTTTAAAGCGACGGCATTCCACTCTAAGCTTATCTTCACTCACAAAGTCAAAGAATGATTCAAAAGAAATGTCACGTAGCTTTACAGAAATTAAAATGATCACAAAACAACTATCTTGCTCCCGATCAGAAGAAAACTATGAGACGACACCTCAAGAATCCGAACATTGGGAAACGAACAATCCATGGTCACTACATTGCCTAACTGCTCAGCTCTCAAAATCAAATGTTCAAGAAGAAAAATTAGAACAATTCATACTTTTAGAAGATCTTACAGGCGGATTAAAATATCCGTGTGTATTAGATCTTAAGATGGGCACTCGACAATTTGGAATTGATGCCACGCCCAGTAAAAGAGACAGCCAGATGAAAAAGTGTGCAAAAACTACTAGCAAAACCTTGGGTGTACGTATTTGCGGAATGCAGGCAAGTATCTATTTTTCATTAGGGGGATTGGTGTGAAGCTCTGAGAGATGGTCCTTACATACTTTGTTTCCAACAAAAGATGAAATTTGAATGAGTACGGTCCAACCTATTCGCGACGCATTGTTGTCTGACAGATTTGATTAATCATTTTCCTTTTTTTTTTTTTTTGCGTCAATTATATAGGTATATAAGACAACAAAGAATACATTCGATTTTACGGATAAATATCAAGGAAGAAAATTAAATGCATCTTCTTTCCGTGAAGCTCTCGGTGAATTTCTAAACAATGGACAAGGAGTATTAGTGCATCACATACCAACCATAATACGTAAACTACGCAATCTCGCTCGTATTATTCGCAGTTTAAGCGGATATCGATTCTATGCAAGCAGTCTTCTACTAATATATGACGGAGACCCACAAAACTCGCAAGAGATAGATATAAGGTTAATCGACTTTGCACATTGTACGACTGGAGACGACTATACGAAAGAAGAGTGTCATTACCCACCTTCTAATCCTTCTTCCTTCGATACTGGATATATGCTTGGACTGAAAAATCTGGTAAAAGCATTCACATCGATATATTATTCCCATACCGGAGTAAACTTGGAAGACGAAAACGACACAGTGTTCGACGGAATATCTTCTAATGAATTATCGAGTAAAGAGTGTTCTATGATAAAACTCGCAACTGCCACTTGAAACTACGAGTCATCGAAGCCGTTAACTTTGGGAGGAGTTGTTGGACTTGGTTGGTTTCGAAAGGACCAAAGACAATCAATCTCATGATTTTTCTATTTCACTTTATGTGAAAATTTTTTTTTTTAAGTTTCTTTGTATATCATTTTTTTCATCCATCATTTTTTTTGTAATTAGGATTTCTCGTAGAACGCACATTTTTTTTAATTATGTAAATACTTTTACAAAAGGTTTAGAATTAGTTTTTACCAAAATACTATTCATCTTTGGAGAGAGCTTTCTGTGTAATTCATCAGAATAATATATATTTTCTTTAGATGATGAAGAAAAACTATATTTTAATATATCGCACAGAATTTTTACAATTCTTTTAATAAATGATTAATCGTTTGATCTTTCAGCGTATTTTTAGTTCTTTATATAATAACCTTAACGATTTTTAATGGGATAAAAAAAGGGTACATACATGTACATTGTGTGTGAAAAAAAAATATTGATGTCTGATGTTAGATGGTGATTATCTTGCCAGCTCTACAGTTTTAAGGGATAAAACTTCTATAGTGTTGAAATTTTTATTGGACAATAGTATACACACGCACAAAAAATAATAAGTGTGTGTGACCAATCCCTGGTAATACCCGATAGAAAATAACGGCGGCGCCAATGTCTCTCGGGCCCAATATGGTTAATGCATGTTCGATTAGTAATAAAACACTTGATTTCTGCATATGTAAATTTGAGAGGGTACTTTTCGCGTTTAAAAGGGGAGCATAATATCAAAGATGAACTGTATTGTTGGATATATTTTTAATTTAAGCATAGAAAATTTATTGTTCGTTTCTTTGTAGAAAAGCAATTTCATACGCTTGCAGAATTGATTAGGTTAATAATCCATATGGTTACAAACTTTAAAGAGTATATTTATTCCATGCTAGCACAAAAATACAGAATAATAAAAAAAGATCATGCCACACCAGAAGCGATCGAAGAAACTAAACACGCATAATCATGAATTTACATCATGACCACTGAGCTCAGCAAATAAAAAAAAGGAGGAATTCGTACTTTGAATTAATATAAGAATGCCAAGATTATTGTTTGAATACCGCACGAAAAATAATCATCCAAGATAGTGTTTGTTGTGTTTTTCTCATTAGCTCATTGATAAATATGCAATATACGCGAATTATAAGTGTTCATATGATCATATAATCCGAAAGAATCTTGGATTTGTAGGCGGCTTTTTGATACTTTACTATTTCGCAATAGAAAAATGATTAAAAGATTGAATGAGATTAATCGAAGTATACTTGCAAACATATTGAATAAACCATTTGAATAAATGACAAGAGTCAACAATCTTTAGAATGGAAATCTTTGATAAAGCTTCTTGTGATTCTCGGAATATTTGCGAGTAGAGGTAGTAGTATTGGTCGAGGTCGTATTAACTCCTTGATTCATCATATCTAAAAAGGTAATTTAGTCACCTTTAACCTTCTCTAAACATAGTCATCAAATTCTTGTTATTACCTTCTTCTTCTTGTTGTTGCTGTTGTTCGTTATTAATCCGAGCCATGCTAAAAGCTGCATTCAATGAATTTAATAAAGAGTTGCTGGATCCATTGGAAACCCCATCGACAAAGTTATTATTTGCCAATGACTTATTATTGCTCGCCAATGCATTTGAAATCAACGCGGTGGCGATATTGGGAGCAGTAGCTTTACTATTACTATTGCTTTCATCACCTCGTTTAATTTCTGACTCGTTACCGCCATCATTTCCGAAAAAAGACGATGGTGGTTGTTGTTTTTGTTGGAGATTATAGCGATGATTCTGATTAGTATTACCGGGAGTATTGGCGTTATTATTGAACAACAAGCTACCAAAATGATTGGGATTGTTGTTGTAATATTGCTGCTGATTGACAGTAGGCTGGACATTTGAATAATTTTGCGGGTGAAAATGATGTTGATGAGTAGTCTTAACAGTAGTGGCATTGGAAGCAGAAAATATCGTAGGAGCAGCACCGGAAGCTGTGGGTGTTGTGGTAGAGGCGGTTGCAGCAACATAAAGAGAATGCTTGATGGAATTTGCTTTCGCGAGAATATTCGCCTGAGTGCTAATCAAAGCCTTCTGCACGTCAACAATTTGTTGGCGTAGTTGGGCGATACGTTGATCTTGAGAAATAATAATATCACGCTTATTTTCGCATTGCTCACAATTCATGCTTGTTAATTTTTGCTGTTGCTGTTGCAATGGCGGTGGTGGTGGTTGTTGCTGCTGCTGCTTTTGTTGATAGCGATTAGGATTTGGATTAACGCGTCGTTGATGTTTTTCGGGCTGTTGTTGTTGTTGATACATGGAAGAATTAAATTGATCCTTCTTCTCAATGGCGATGTTCGTGGAAGTTTGACTACTGGTGATAGTAGGAGTGGGGGTGAGAGGAGTGTTGTGATTGAGTGGAGTTGTATTATCATTTCTACGAGGAAGCTGGTAGTTAGGAGTGCTAGTTGCGTTTGTTTGCGGTGTATTGGGGATCGAAGAAGTGAGAGAGCTGGGAGTGCTGGAATCTTCCCCAGAAGTCATGATCGTAAGTTTGTTTGAATATTATTTACTTGAAAGGTTGAATCTAAATCCAACGACTGGATAAATAGACAATAACGAAAGGGAATAGGGTGAAAAAAGTCAAACAAACAAATGAGAAAAGATGCTGTGAAAAAGAACAGAATCAAAATGACCAGCTTCTTTTATATTTGAAAAATTTAATAAACGATAAACTTCAAGCTACTGCAAGATCAATCACTCGGTTATCCAGAGAAATGACAATATGCAAAATGACTAAACTATATTTTATCAGACTATACGTGTATAGTTATACTTGCTGAACCTTTGTGTTCGACTATTTGATGATGATGATGCATTACGGGTCAGTTAGTCAGCAGTCAGTTCTCCAAATCTTTTTATTCGTAATTCAAAAAAACCTTATTTGATCGTATTCTCAATTTCTTTTCGTAACGAGATAAAACGCGTGATTGTAATAGTATTTCTTCTTGCTGATCAATACACGCAAATTTAATCACAATATTCTCAATTAAGCATGTTCCAATTCGAATAAAGATATACTGTATATTTATTGCTGGGAATTTATTTGTTATAACTAGTAATTGAAAAAAAAACATTTGTATAAAGATTCTAGTTATTTTATATTCCACCAATATACATGTAAAAAGTCAAAGTGCCTTCTTTCCAAGATAGAAATAATGAGGTGATGCTACTAGATTTATCAATAAACCCTTTTCGAAAGTTGTATCTTTAATCGCAATAATCTTCAACAATTCGATTTACACAGCGAAGATCGAGATTGTTGAGATTGTTGATCATCAGTTCGGTTTCGAGAGATTTGACTTTTTGAGTCAAATTTAGCAAAATCGATTCGTTTATTTCTGGATATATGGATGGCGCTAATAGTCGAATAACTCTAATCTATTTGGAAGGAAACATAATATTTTAATTGTTATTGTTCTCGTCCGTGTCAGCTATAAGGGAACAGGAGATAACATTTTACCGATTTTGATAAAATTTCAGAGTCTATTTTTGAGAAATCGATAGCGGAGAATATTTCTTGATTAGATTCTAGTTGCTCAATTTCGGTTTGACAATTAAGCCAGTCGATCACAACATTGAAGGCTTTTTCATTCTATAAACAAAGTTAGAGGCTTTAATGATTGGGAAAGTAAAAGATCAAAATCAAAAAAAAAAAATAATCAAAGTTTACCACAGCTCTAATAGAATCATCCAAAACGCTTTCGGTCCTATTATTCTTAAAATAATATTCCACCGCACATTTCAATGCGCATCTCTTTAATTCTTGGAAGCCATAGAGTTCTGACATCGATTCGATTTTCCAGAAGAACTCGATAGATTTTTCTGCAACTTTGACAACCAACCGATCGTTCTTCGCCCACCAAACCCAGTCATTGTTAACATTCAAATTAGCATCAATTATTCCAAGATCTGGTAGCAAAGTATCGAAGATTATGTTCAATAAAGAGATAATATTGTTCTTGGTCATGTATTCATCAATTGCTTTCATACTTGACTCAACTAAACCTGAGACGTTGAGTGCATCAATTAGAAAAAGAAAAGAAGCGTAAAGTGAAATTGAAGTTTCCAGCTGGTGATATTCAATTTCTCCTGTATAGAGAAAAAACTTGAAGTGATTAAATGCGTGTGAAATTGATGCTGGTGGTAGTTTAGTGGAGCCAGTCAAGTGTGTTAACACGATTGTTTCGAGATTTTTGTTGGGAGGATATTCGATACGTAATTGGTTTGGATCAGTGATGAAGACTAAGGCCTCTTTATTACTATCGTTACTGTCATTCGATTTTTTGATATCAAGAATGTCATCTTCGTCATTATAATTATCGTCTTCGCAATCAAACCATCCATCGACAGGTTCACTCTCATTTGATGGATTATCGATTAGAATTAACCTCTTATTATTATCGTTCTCTTTATGATTGGATTCTTGGAAATATTTAAGGAGTGTCGGGGAAGCAATCAACAATAGAAATCTAAGAACAATTAAATAGTTATTTAGCATCTGAACGCTTATATTGAATAAAATCAAATTATTACCTGTGTACCAGGACGCTCGAACCATCAGGCAAAAGAATCCTCAAGTCATATGTCGCTTTGTCATTTGAAAGACTATTTATTTTTTGTTGGATGTTAGAAACATTTTTATCGTTAATTGGGCTATTGGTGGGAGTGGTAATGTCAGTAAGTAAGGCAGAGGTGATCGCAGTTTCATCAATATCTTGATACGTCTCTTGAGGAGTAGACATCTTTACGTATTTTGTTTCTACCGATTGCTGTTTATTTATATACTCTGTATATAATTTGTTATATTAGATTAAAAATGGCGGATGACATGATTTATTATGGTGATTGATTATGATGATTTATCGTTGAGGTGTATTTTGAAACGTTTAGAGATTATTTTGAGTCTTTTCCTGATGGTTAGAATCTTTGCATCAATTTTCTTCATCATCATCACGAAACATATCAAACGACAATATGATAAACTGACATGCCGCTGTATTCTTCCAGGACAACGCAGCAGCAGAAATAATGATAATAAATCATTCTTATCACCAATCCCATTACATTCTATTGCGATTTCATTAATTCTAACTTTCCAACAGCAACAACAACAACGGGCATACTCTGATGTATGTATCGATGTTCAACTGAATAATAATCATCTTCAGAATGCAAATCACCTCTATATAAACGAAACCCATTACTATCATAATATTATTATTTAATTTTATTTAAAGAGATTTATTGTTATTGCTTGATTGATAAATTGTTCAAGTTTTATTTACCTTTTTTTCTTCTTCTCCGAAACATATTATTCACCAAGTTCTTTAATATAATCATTAATGTCTCTCGCAATGACTCAACAAAGCGAAACGCCTTCTCAATCATCAAACATGGAGTCGACAGTCACGACTACACCACCAAATTATCGTTCTTCCACCAGTTCTTCATCCTCTGGTGCAACTCCTCCAACCCCTCAAAATAGCAGCAATAATAATTCTTATCAACATCAGCATCAAACTCAACAACGAGACTATTATCAACAGCAACAACAACAACAGCAACAGCAGCAGAACCGTTGCCGTACATGCGAAAATCTCAAAGATATCATTATTTCACAAGATCAAAAAATCGCTCTACTTCATCAAGATCTTCTTGAAGTTCAAAAAGCGTTGATTTTGACTCAGTCGAATTTGCTTGATGCGTCTGCTAGTATTTTGAAGAATTCAGCTAGTAATGCTATCAACTCTACTACCTCTGCTGCTAATACTAGTAATGTTCGCACTAATCTGGGAATTGGTGGTGGTGGCGGTGGTAATGCTCTTAATAATGGTCCAGCGGGATTCGGGTTAAGTACTTATCAAGCTTTTGTAGGTGCTGGTACTCATGGCACCAGAGAAAGGGCGAATAGTACTTCCGCTGCATCGGCGTTTCTAAAATCTGGTTTGGGAAATCATGAAACTCCCGTTAGATCCGCAACGAATAATCCTAACAGTAATCTTGCGAATCGAACTAACAATGATATAATGATGAATCCAGCCGCCGCTGTTTTTAATCCTAATCTTGGTGACGAAACAGGTATTTTATTTCTGTCATCAAATGGATCTTTATTTACTTATTAACATTTTATTGTATTTTTTTTTCTTTATAGCTAAATATCCTTTTTAGATTTAATTTTGATATTCAGATCCTAGTTTAATTCATCCTCGTTCTTTCGGCTGTTTAATTTTTATGAGGTATTTCTTCTATTCAGTAAACACACAGGATTTATTGCTTAGTCTCATGTCAATTAATTTTCTCTTTTTTCTTCAAGTATTTTTGAAATCTTGCGGCTGTTCACCCATTCATCTAACAATTTATCCAAACATAAAAAATTGTGAAGCACAAAAGTAATAATGAATTGCAAAAAACATTTAAAAACATGTTTACAAATTTAGAGTTTAGTATGACGCTTACAGTTTGTAAACTAGTTATTATACTAATGATTGCACGTATTGTTAAGGAGCTAATGCAATATAAAATAAAAATTAATTTCTGATTTTGAAAAAATACTAAATCGTGGTTTTACCATCTATGGTACTCTCGCCCTGTAGGGTAAGTCTAAACCTTAATTTAATAATTCAAAGACTCACGGGATTGTTCCTTAAAAGCTTTGAGGTCAAAATTAGTGGCAAAGTTTTTAAAGGGAAGGTGTTACATGAAGTGCTCCACGGTAAGTTATATTGATGAATTAATATCTTCCCTATTTTTGATAACGCCTTTAAGCATATTCTTGATCTAAGAGAAATTTGACATGACACTCAAAATGCGTTTTTCTGTTCCGCGAAAAAAATAAAACATTTCACCTTCTTCAGGATTCATTAAGTTATGTTATCTATTAAGAGGTTACAATCCCGGCAATCAAATAAGATTAATAAAGATTTGAAACTGCCATTAATTTCTTCATTCTAGACAAATAATAAAAAATCCTCGAAGCATATCAATGAACAAATATTTGTCAATCTCAACATCCGCATTTCATAAGAGCATTGTGTACTGGTTTTGGAATGCCAGCGTCTTCTTAATGGTAATGGTCAATTGAGATTATAAACTTAGATTCTGAGCGATTTAATCACCATTTTAGTCTTAGTCTTAATCATATCATTCAATTCATCTGCTAGCTGAAAAAATCATTTAACCGCTTTGGATTCCATATTCGTAATACAAATTAAGCACAGTTATAACGAGAATATATTTATTAGGTGTTTATAATTTCATTGGTCAGTTTGTGGAATCGAAAAACAGGTTGTCATTAATATTTTGTGCATAATTTTTCTAAAAATTAACATCACAGAGTAAAAGAAATTCTGAACAAGAAGACTATTCCAGTCGAAAAAATCGCATCAGCGCATCGATCAACTTTAAACATTCGGTCTAAATCAATAAAAAAAACTTATTTTGATTACAAAGTAATGGGTGGCATTAATCAGAAATATTTCTAAAGTAGGAACTTTAATTTTTCATTTTTTTATGATTGAATGTTACATTCGTGACAAAATTACATCGAATGAGTCTCCAAATAAAAAAATCATGTAATAGATCAAAAATTTTACAATAAGAGTGATGATAACAATAGACGTACTATATATAAAAAATATAGTTGCAAAACAATTTTGGAACTCTCCCAAAAACGTGTTTTTCTATTTTAATATATTTAAAAATATAATAGTTTTAACCTTGTTAATCAATCAAAGCTTATCAATCATGATCAAGATTAACATTAATGCTTTCTCCACATTTCTTAACGGTCCAAAAATTGTCCAGATGATGATATAGCACGAAGCGGAGTTGTTCACGCGTCTGATTGATGATGAATCAAATAATTTATTAAGTAATTCATGCATTTGATTTATTATATATAGATATATGGCTAAATTAAGGGCTTTACTATTCTGCATCATTGCAAAAAAAGAAGAAAAAGAAAGCAAATTATTTATTCCATTATATTCGAATTTCCCTATTCTTTTTTTATGTCTCTTATTCTTTAATAGATACGCCTAAATTTTATTCCAGAAAAAAATGTCTCTAGCATATGAGAACGACGACGTGGTCAGTATGGCTGATTCTATTACGTCTTCGACTGCTTCTGCTTGGACCATGTTCTCAAAACCTTCAACCCATGGTATTTTGGCCGGAAATTGCGGCATCTTGCCAAATTTACCGACTATCACTTCTGCTCTTGGTGTCACCACCTCTAATGCGACCCATTTTACCCCTGCTGCATTCAAATATATCCATGAAAATATCGATGAAAACGACAACAATTTTGATATTTCGAATATTCCTAACTTTGCGCTCGCCGATTATGCTGATTTAACGGAAGACGATGATGATATCTTGGCGCATCGCAATCAAAAACAACAAGAGCAGCAGCAGCAATCACAACATCAGCAGCAGCCGCCATTCCACAATCAACAATATCAGCAATTCTTAATGCAGGAACATCAGCAAAATGAATTTTCCTCAGTCCTAAGTACTTTTAAACATGAATTTATTAATGATGTCTGTGAAACACTTAAACGACACGTATTGCCTGAAGTTTTAGAAAGGTTCAAGGAAGAACTTGTTATTGATCTTCGTCCTGGTTCTCCATTTCTTATTTCTCCGTATGCACAGTCTATTAAAATGCGACAACAAAAGCAGCAAAAACTACCAAATCTATTTCCTTCGCCTTCAATCTCACTTCCATCTCTTTCATTCATTCCACCAACACAACCATCGCGTCCAATCCCAATCTCACAAAATTTCAAATTCGCCGTATTATTCATATCATTCAATCCAACCTTCTCATTATCGAATATCGGGATCGGGATTGCATTACGCCAACGAGGATTTCATCCCATACTTCAACACATTCCAAACGCCTATCCCACCGATAAAACGGTTTTGATGATTCGTGATCTCACCATCAACCTTTGGGCGAATAATTGGCGTTTAGCGGTGTTCTTAATTTGTGATCCGGCAGAAATGATTAATTCGGCTCGCGACGCCATTCGAAGAATGAGAATATTCTTTGACAAAGATACTTTGCGCGTCGTGACGGTTAAATTGCAAATGCCAGTCGACACACAGGCTTGGTGTATAAATGAATTTAAGAAAGCAGGTTCAAATGAAATTATTGTACGAGAAGAAGAGATGTTGCAAGGTATCATCAAAAATTGCGAACAGGTATATTTAAAATTTAACTTGACATTGAATGAAGATTAACAACGAATAGAACGAATAACAAAATCATTTTATATATATTGAATGAAGAATTAATGACAAATCACTTTGTATAGGTTTCGATTTCTTCTCAAAATCTTGATCCTCAGATTCCCGCGGAATTTCTCAATTCTTTTCCAGCTTCGGTTAAAATCGGGGAAAAGGTTTGGGTGACAGTCGAGCATTTTGGTAAATTTTTTTTGTTTGCTTTTGCAAACTCACTTTTATTATACGAATCCTACCTTAGCTTATTGCACGAAACTTTGAGAATTCTAAATTATATATATTTTCCTCTTACACAGTTAAAGCTCAACTACATTATGCACAACGTAATGACTGGGATCGTCCATCAAATCCAGACGGACAAACTCCTCGTCATCGTGTCCTCTCAATTGCTCTTTGGCATAAATTCACCCAACATCCGAAATTGACACACAAACTGCTATCTACTAGTCCAGCACAGATCGATGCCTATCAGAGCTGTGCTGACGAGGACGAGATATTTTATTCTGACGAACCTGGCTCTAATCGAATATTCAAAAATGTTAATCGTGAGATTAGGGAGAAAGTTTTCGCTAAAGTGATTATGGACATGCGCGAGGAATACGGCGTTAAGCAAAAAGACAAGATTTGGATTGTTGATGGTTTGGAACAAGAATTGGGATCGATTTAAGAAATCGTTGGCAATAGGGAGGAGGGGATGATTTAGAATTTCAATTTTTATATTCTTTTTGTCTACTTTAGAGTAGATGTTTTTAGATTTCTCTTTAATAGTATTATTTATCTATTCTTTTTGTATTACATTAACATATCTAAATTTTGGAAGAAAAAATAAAATTCGTATTTTTGAATAAAAGTATATTAATAAAAATAAAATATTGCTAACTCGTATGCTTTCTCAAATTTAATTTAAAATCCACAAAACTTCCCTTGTCACAATTTTAAAAATGACATTTTATCAAATATTAATTTGTTTTGGTATTGCATGTGAAAATTCGCCCGAATTTACTCGAATTATCCAAATATTTATGTGATTTTCTAGAATAAAAATCCAACGATCATACGCATTTCCAAACTTCATCAAATTAATAAAACCATTAAAAATTTCTATAAAAGTTTCTATTAAAATAATTATTGTAATTATTGTGTGAATATCTGTCAAAACTTCTTGGTTAAGTTAGATTCTTAAAATATTTAATCGATTTTATACATTTGTTGTTTTATTCAAATTGTTGATCAAAACAGCAACATTTTGCAAAACACGTCCGACCATTTTATTATTGACGGACAAAAGTAATTAAAGTCTAGCTAAAACATCAATTTAAAAATTCACAATACTTGTCGTTTATACAAATTTTCGCTTTATGAATTTTGTAAAATTATTGATTCATGAAACTTTCATTGTTTACCCCTACTTACAATTTGCATAACAAAAATATTGAAGCTCATGCTATTTCACATGCCATCCGTATCATCTTTTCCAACAATCCCAAATCAACAAGCATGTTCAACTAGCAACGATACGATCATGTTAACAATGTTCAAGCATGGTTAGGAGGGAAAACTTCAACATTCATTTTTTACTTGCAACAGAAAAAACGGAAAAAGAATATTGAAAAAATTTAGAATCCTTTGAAGCTCGAAGTAACTGACACGCCATGAGTTATTTTACTGATCTTTGTCAATTATCTTTAACCATTTTTCTTTGTTTATTATTAGAAATAGTCTTGTATTTTGTTTTATACTTTACTCACAATAGGCCTGGAGCTCTGCTAACGTAAAAAATGTATTTGACAAGGAAGAAATAGATTAGAAGATCCGTTACCGTGCCAACTGATCCCACACGCGGACCTTGAAAATTACTTGAGATCGATTTTGTTTGAACTAGTAAAATCAATTCTATTGGTTTGAACACAGATATTTGTTGTAATCCGGGTTTTTAAATTTTGATCTAACATTCCTATTTTGTAATAATTGAAGCCCTGCGAGTTATTCTCGCCCCCTAATTACAGGATCTTAATGAACAAATAAAGCAGAGCTTATCAAGATTAGGTCACTATTATTGAATTAAATTGCAACAGTTCTAACAAAAAATGATTTCTCTGTAGTAGGTGTCGATGTAATGATCGATTTTACATGAACATGCTGAATCAAAAATAAACTGATCAAATGTAACTGCAAACAAAATGGATATATGTCAATCGAAATGTTAAAATCGAAATTATCGCTTGGAACTGTTTCAATAAAGCAAGCCGTCCACTTGTCGAATATTTTGCTGCTTCGAACGATGTTAATTTGACAAAAATCCAATAGGTTTTTGAAAAACATATAGAAAATTAGTAACTATTTATGGATAAATAAATACGAAAATTAAATAGTGAGAAAGGTGGTTTCTTCTTAAAGAAATCGATAATTAGCTTTGATAATTGGCAAATCTTATAAATTATTGAAATCAATAAAGTTTAATAAACGTCTTAGTTGCATGTGTATGTATATGTATATGTGTATAACTTTAAATGGGCGAAGAATTGACGTGCGAGAGACAAAAATTAAACGCATCCCTGAATTTTCTATTAAAATAGGAATTTAGAACTTGGTCAGAAATCTGCATCGATAAGATTAAGCGATTGGATATTTCACATGACTTTCTAATTGAATTTTTTTTTGAAAGAAATTACAAGCAGAAGCTTAAATACAAGATCATCTCTTAAGAAGCTATAACGGAGAAGATAGTAGAAGGTATGAAGATTATGGAAATAAATAAGGTCATTACATACAAGATTAAAGCGAATGCATGATATAAAAATGAATCATCGAAAAAAAATGCGCGCATAATCACGTATACGCATATATAAATCACGTACCTAACACAAAAAGGAAATGCATAGTATTTCAACATAAGTAAATAATTTAAAAAATCTATTGAGCACGAAAACAAAAAATTTTCATAACAACAAGCAAGTATAGAGATTGCGCGCGTAATGATTAAAGAGAGACGAATGATACCGAGTCTCTAATCTAATGCCTTATGCATGTATTTTATTCGCTTAATAGTAATATATAAGAATAAGCGAAGAATATTCTTTGCTTAGAATCTCTATCGATTGATTTGATATATAAATATATATATTTAAATTTTTTAATTTTTATATAATAGAAATAATACTAAAGATATAAGAATAATTCGAGAAAATAAAATATAAAAGTGTGGTAATGTGCTTAGTTTCATGATTTTTTTCGTTCTCTTCCAAGACGACTGCGACGCGACAAACCAATATGGAAAATACGATTATAGTAGAAAACTACTAGATTCTCTTCGGAATGTTTTGTATTAATTATATATTTATGATAATAAAAACATATAATTGAGAATCGAAAATCTAATTGATGACGACATGATGTGTGTGTGTGTGTGTGTGTTTTTTTTTTGAAATTTTATGTTAAAGAAAAGAACGAAGCGGGAATATAGCAGTTTTCTAATATTACGAACATAACAAATATGAATAATGGGGTGGTTGTCGACTATAGCGTACGTTCTAAAGATAATGAAAAAAATCTTAGATAATATAATATAAATATAAAATTAGCATGATGATGGATGAAAAAAGGAAGGAGCTTAATCTGGCCGGCATAATTGACATAAAATTAAGAAATTATAAAAGCACTAGTCGAATATTTGAGAACAACAACAAGAAAAAAAAAATAGGAAATAGAAAAAAATATTGATTTGTTCGTATCTGAGTCTTTTATCTATCAGGATTTTTTTGTGAAAACGGTCGGTCATTGATTGTCTTTAAGGAAAAAAGATAAGTGTTTGATATGATGTATATCGAAGAATTGGGGAAATCGCATTAAATCAAGAGATATTGATTTGGTATTATACCGTTTGGCGAATTATAGATCATTTGTTGTAACGAGTTTTGTGGATCCATTTTCAGTGTTGTAACGCCGATATTTCCACTAATACCCGATAATTGAGGTGTGTTTATCGTTGTTGGACTATTATTTGATGATGATGTTGGACTGGATGAAGGACTATTTGTAAATTTATTTTCGTGATTTACATGAAATGCGCATCCATCATCATTATCATCGTCGTTATCGTCAATTATTCCTACATCTATCGCTGCGTCTTGTTGTTGGTGCTGTTGTTGTCCAAAGATATGAAGTTGCGACATGTCTAGTGGTGGAGGAATTTGCTGTTGATGTAATTCACCATCATCTCCTTCCGTTCCAGGTTGAACTAAATTTCCAGCGGTTATACCCATTGTAGGTGTAGTTGGTGTAGAGTTTGGTGGACTTATCATCGTAACTGAACTACCACTATCATTATCACTTGCCCCATTTGCGGATGTTGCGGCGGCATTCGCATCACGTTCAAGTTTCGCTTGCTTATTTTTTATTTGCACCCATCGAGTCCGACATTGTCTCTGTAATCATTATGATGATTTAGATCGAGCATTTTGACAAATAATTATTTAGCGTCTCGCTAAAATTACCTGAGTGCGTCCATCAATCATTTCGGCGATTCGAATCCAACATCTTCCAAATCTTCGTACGCCTTCTTTCAATATCTCATCCTCTTCAGGTGACCATTTTCCCTTTCGAACACGCGGATCCAATGCTTCGGACCATCGTGCCTGACATTGGATTCCCGTTCGATGAGGAATACGAGCAGCAATTTTATTCCAAGGAATTGGCTGTGGATTTCCGTCCGAATCGGTCAAATCCACGTATTCTGATACGGCATCTTTTAGCGCAGCATCTTCTTCCGGTGTCCAACGGCCTTTGTGTATTGTGGGATTTAACGCACCCAACCATCTGGTCGAACATTGCATTGGTGTACGATTCGGTACATGCGCGGCTATTAATGACCACTTGTGAGGTCCATAAATGCTAATCGCAGCTCGTAGTAATTGATCTTCTTCCTCGGTCCATTTTGTATAGACTGGTGGTTTTTGATTGATTAAACTTGGGGATGAAGGACGTGAAGAAGAATTCGAAGTAGGCGTTGGAGGTTGTTCGTACTGTCCATCAGGATATACCTGTTGCTATTGTGGAGAGAGATATTTTCAATGAGTATTCGTTATGGTAAGAACGCATCTAAACTGCTACAGGTTCCATAGTAGAATATTACATGCATGCATGCTTTGTAATAAGATGGCATATTCAATGCGCCGAAAAGGTTAACATGCGATAGTTACGAAGAAATTGGATACAATCGACAAAAAAGCATGATGCAAGTATATGTATGTTGGGAAATTTCACAAAGTTGGTTCTAGACGCACGTATCTCTCTTTCAACAAGAGAATCGAGTAATGAAGCAGGGGTAGAGAGGCGCGAATATGTCAAGGAAAAAACAAGAAACAGACTTACATCAAAAGAATAATCATATTGCATAGAAATTTCGTCACCAAACCTCACAGGCTGAGTTTGTGGAAACGTCGAAACCTGTAATGGCGTTTGAAGTGCATCCAGAGTGACGATATTCGGACTAGGGTATGGACTTTGTAAGATGGAGCCGTAGACTTGGGCAAGGGAATTAATATTAATGGTTTCTCGACTATGATACCCATTGTCGCATTGCTTTGATTGGTAAGAGGAGGAAATACGCTAAAAGTTAATGGCAGAAACTATACCAAAAAGAATGTGGGAAACATTTTTCTCACCTGCCAGTCACCTTGATCGAGTTGTGGCTGCTGTGGGTTCGGAAACAATGACAATATTTGGTTAGACAATTAATGAATTATTTAAGGCAAGAACGTAGTACTTTGTGGAACATGAATGTATGCACGAAGGTAAATGAAAGAGTTATATAAAGATTTCTCGTTATCGAGATTCACATTAAAACTTACCATGTTTGACTTATGTGCATCTCGTGCCACGGTAACCAGCTGAGTGTTCACGTCCGAAAGCTTTTTTACACGAAAGGACAATAGTTTATAGACATGTAAGTTAACTCCCTCTCTCACATACATCTCTATATATATGTATGAAAGTTAAGTGACGTAATCCATAAAGCATGACAATGACACATACCATTTTCTGCGAATAATCTGCTTGCTTATGAAACTCTTGTTGGGGCATCTAATTAATTAAATTAATATTCAATTTGTAATTGAATAAAATCAAATTTTTTTTAAAGTTCTTGCTTTGTTTTATCTACCTGATATCGTAAAGCTAAACTGTGCCCGTTACCGTCGTTAACCGCGTCACGGGGATAGTACTATAATGGGAGGGTAAAAAAAAGAGGAAACAAGGAAAGGATTTATATAGGTGAATAGAATGATCATCGTGAGAAAGACGCGTCAGGAAAACAACAAAGGAAGAATAAATACGTTTGATTGGGTAGCACATAATTGGAAGTGTGAAAAATGATGAGAAATAAAGAAGCAACATGACTTACTTGATAATATTGAGTGATATTGTTGTTGTTGTTGTTGTTGCTGTTATGATTATGATGATGGTGATTATTATTATTGTTGTCATAAATGAATTGATAGATCATTGGATTATTGTTCTCGTGATTTTGATATTGTTGGCTATTATTATGAGTACTATCATTATGATTCATTTCTGACATTGTATCTGCAGAATTAACGTGAATGTTATTATTATGTTGAATTCTTGATAACAATAATTCAGCCGCTGGTTCACTCAAATTATTATTGTTGTTGTTGTTGTTGTTGGTCGAGTTGCCAGTAGTTGTTGCAAGATTAGAATCCCCACAAAAGTTATTGTTGATCAAAGGCGCGGGTGTATTATTAATTAAAGAAGGTGGATGTCGTGACGATGATGATGATGATGATGATGATGGACTAGTAGGTGTTAAAGGAAGATTTGTATTGTTGGTAAAGTTGTTGGTAGAATACGAGGTAGCAGCCGCGTGATCCAAAAAACTATTGTCTAAAAAAGATAACAAACAAACAAGCAAGCAACAAGCAAACAAACGGACAAACAGACAAACAAACAAACAAACAAACAGACAGACAAACAAAGATAGACAGACAAACAGCAGACAGATAAACAATAAACAAAAGCAGGCAGGTAGGCAGGCAGACAAACATAAACAAATATACAAATAGGTTTTAGTTATCGACAAAGAATGGAAGTTTTATTGGAGAAATATAAATTCAAAAAATTACCTTGAAATGCGTTGTGATAATTGTTTGGGTGGTTATAATTGTTTATGGGATGATAATAATTGGATTGAATTGCGGACATGGTCGAAAGAAGGAAAGGAAGGAAAAAAGGGGAAGAGAATGTAAAGATGATGCGAATTTATAAAGAATGAAGCAATTATTAAAATATATAATGGGCAGAATGGAACTAAGAATTGTCGCGCGACAGACAAAATATGTAAAAATAATGTGCTGATTGATTTGATTTTGATTGATCTTTTTTGATTATTATGATGATGTGGATCACGAAAAACACGTAAGAAAAAAGTACGGATAATCTCGAAAGTGAGGGGAAAAATCCACTGATCAAAAAAAGGAGTCTTTTACTTTCCGTAAAAACAAGCGAGAAAATAAATAAGGGGCGGTTATTTTCACGCTTTGGAGTTGGAAATAGGAGAGTAGAGTGATTGATTGAATGATTGATCTCTTAGTGATTGATTGATTGATTGTTTTTTGGTTTTGTTTGTTTGTTGTTTTTTTATAATAAATAATTCCTGTGCGTCGCGGGATGTATTTGATTACTATAATATTAATTATACGCGTAATTTCGTAACGGATGTCTTTTTTATTTAATCAGTAAATTAAATAATGTCGTCATCAATCGATATGTGAGAATAATGCGGAGAGAATGTGGATCGAACAAATGTTTTCAACAATTCTTCATAACTACAAGAAAACTGTTAAGTGTATTTACAAACATATACAAAGAATTGTTTCTTTTAAGTGTTTTTTCTTATTAATGATGAGAAGGAGGAAATAGGATAAGGATGTAAGTGATAATAAGAATGGCGGTGAAAGAAGCAAGGAGTAAAGATAAAGAGAAAGACGAAAACGTGAGTTAGTTGATTTATTAATTTGTGGACGATACAATTAGTGAGTAATAAAAAAGACACGTTAGAATTAATTATTATTAGTAATAATTAATAAAGAAATTCCGAGTAAACCTGTATAAGAATTGGGAAAATAGATAATTTATATATTTATAAATTATCCATTTATCAATCAATATACAAGAGTATAATAAATAGATAAATAAAATAAAATAAAATGTGTGTGCGTGTGGGTGCGTGCTTGTGTAGGTAATAGGCAAGAATAACGAGAATAAAAGATGATGACGTTGTTTGATGATGATGATGGCACGACGACACAATAATGGAATTTTTAGTTTGTCAGTAATGATCACTATTATATTAACTATTGTACTTGTTGTATATACGGACGGCGACGGAAAGACAAAAATGAGAAGGAAGATTTGCGGAAAGGTTGAAAAACGTAAACAACCAAGCGCAGGATCAATGGAACCAATTTGTCAAAGAGCGAAGCGGGGTATTTTATTAGTTTCTTTCTCTTTGATGACGATGTTGATGTTGGGTTCGGTCGTCCGTTGTCGTACACTAGAAAAAGTTTAGCCTTTATCTAGTTATTTCGAGCGTTTTTTTTTTATATTTATTGTTTGATTTGTTGCTCATTATAAAAATATATTGCGAATTACAGTATAATAATATATATAAACTAACTATTATGTGTGTTAATATGACCAAATTCAGCAACAAACTTCCTACTACATAGAGATTTCGCAAAAAAAATCTTGATTTTATATTGCAATATTGTGACACTACGACTGTCGTATACCCCATATATATATGTAAAATATGCTTTTAACTTTTTTGACTGGTAGGCTAGCCGCGTGTTGCATTGATATTTCATTTTGTACTAGAAGGGAAGAAAGAGATTGTATGGTGGTGCGTAATATGTAACATTTATCTGTGGTGAAAAGCAAGAAGTTAGAGCGTATGTGGGATTTTTGAGAAACAGGACGAAAAAAAAATAATATACATTTTTTTGTTTGTAATCGAATAGAATGATCAAATAGAGCTTTTACAAACAAAAAAACCCCATACTTTTTTCGTTATTTCACCGTTCGTTTCTCAATCATTTATTACTAATCGTGTAATCATATTGTGTGGCAATGAACTTTATTTTAAGAAAACAAAACAACCCGTTATTTACTTTTTTCTATTTGTGTATAGAGCGTATAGAATGCTCGTTCATGTATAGGAAGGATTGAATAAATAAAAAATCAGATACGAGAAAATTATTCCATTACATTATAAAAAACGAATCGTTGGTATTTTGCAAATTTTTTCCGGATCTTTGTGATTCAACAATGCTGGATTTGCCGAAATCTAATCTAAAAATCTAGGAGAATGTTAAACGGAGGAATTATCAAATTTATTATGAATCTGTTGGATAATATGTTTAAGTATTTCAAGAGTAACTTGTGTTAAAATTTCGCGCTGAGCATTTCATTTTTATTTAAAGGCTGAAAGCTAGTTGTCATAGCAAAAAATTTGGTGTTGTGTGCGTTACACGTGATCTTGCAATTGGGTTAGGTTAATTTTGCTTGTTACGCTTGATCTTTCAACGGGTATTGGTTAAATACACGTGATACTACTCCGATTTAACGGGATCCTTTGAATGAAGACCGAATCTTAGGGAACTTGAAAAATTCGGGTTAAAAAATTACAGGCGATTTTCTGAATGAAAAGCGGTGATTGTTTGACAACGTTACATTTTGAGTCAATTCTATTATAAATAATTACAATGAGGAAAAAGAGTATTGTTCAAAATCGTATTTATACGGATCAAGTGATTAACATTAAAAAAAAAACCGAATTCTTTGTAAGATGACATTATGTTTGCTTCCCTGATCGTGCGTGCGTTTTTTCGCACATGCACATTAGATTTGAGACAGCTGATTTCTTGAATGTTATTATCATCTTTTATATAAATATATAGATCAAACGTAAATTCATCAATTTTACTAATTCTTGCGTGCGTAGATTTAATGATATCTTAAAATTGAAGAATCCATAATTTAACCTCTTTCTTTCATTGGTTATGGTGAATCATGGGTTGAGATTCTGCATACGGTTTGATAGCATAATCCGGTATTGAAGACGCTTGATCATCTCTTTTACGAGCACGCCCCTTCACTCACTCACTCATTCATTCATTCATACACACACACACACGCACACACACTCTCTCTATTGTTAACAAAGATATGATGTATCCATATTATGTGCATGCATCAAAAAAAAAATATGTTTTAGTGGGGTAGCCTGTGGGCGGATGATGAAAGTGCAATAATGGATGTTTCTCTCGCTCTAGTATACAAATAAAGATTTGACCGTAAGTGAATTTATTCAAGGTATGTATATGTGTATATATGGAAGGTATTGTAAGCGAGTCAGTTGCATAACGTCATACATCATTTACTGTTGAACAAAAAAAAAAGGAACATACATCTATTATGAAAGAAAGCGGAAAATTGTTTCAAAATGCCTATGTTTCCAAAGATATTTCACAAGGACTGAAAAAGGGCACTATGCAACATATGGTCACTATCATTACGATACCAAGGAATAAATTGCGTAACCTCATTCGATACGAGCGAATGAGAATGTCATTGACTGATTGCTTGGCTTTCAATGCTGCCAAAATATTTGATACTGAGATCAGACGATATTGAATCAAAAGGATGCATGCATTTTTTTAGTCCCATTGTAAGAAACAAATTTTGCATCATTTTTTCAAAATGTCGATATCTTTTCAGTTATCTGACAATCTTTTTACATCAATATCATGTTAGAAAGTGGTTAGTGAATGTCTCACGTAAGAATTCATTATCTAAATTTGAATAATCCGATATGTTTTTCTTCTTAGTGGATGACATCATATTACGTTGAGATAAGCAAACACTTGCTAGAAAAAAAAACTGCAATAGTACACGACAAATTCAGCAAAGTTTCAGCAAGCACAAACATTTTGTGTTTAATAGCAAATGCAGTCCGTGCATAATAATGGGTTGAAAATGGACGCCAAACAATAGAGTGGGGGGTTTTTTTTTATTTTTTGTAATTATCACAAGGAAAACGACATTGTGCCACCATGAGAAAGGATAAACAGTTCGGGAAATTTTTTTGAGTGCCCTATTGTGTTTTTTTGCCTGGCGTAAATTTTTATCTTTTTCGTAAAAGTATCATCATTATTTATTTATTTGATCAAAATTTTAAGTGATCCATTTGAAATTATTATTATTTCTCAATTGATTTTAAACCAACCATCATTTGTTATCGTTAGTTATGCATTCTTCCACGCGCGTCTTTTTTGCTCTTCGTTTTGCACGAAATCCCTATACATCTTGATAATGTACCAGCCAAGTAATAATGTGAATCGTCGAATGTCAAAATATCCTAGACTATTTTCTTCTCTCTTTCTCTTCATCCAACCATATCAGTCTTTCCATTATATTATATAAGAGAAATAAATTAGGTAAATTCGATTTCACGCCCTTTGACAAAAAGCTATATCTCGTAATCCCCGATCCTATATATACGTGCGCGCACACAAACACACACGCGCATAGCTAAAGACAATAATTGCATTGTGATACCCAGATGTACGCGTGCATCGTCGAATGTCTAATTTAGTTACTATGAAATAGAGAGAGGGAGAGGAAAAGAAAAAAGCAAAGAAAAAAAAAATGGCCTAATTCAAACCTTGTTTGGGCTTTTATTTAAAACACACACATATATATATATATATATTTAACAATGTATATATTAATAATAATATGTGTTTTTTTTTGCCGCCCATACTGAATAATGCAATCTCCAAACAAAAAAAATTAAACCTTAACTTTGATTTCTGTTCAAATATTGAATAAGAATAACTTAAATAACAAACAAACATCCAAATATCGATATGAATAACAACACAATAATGGTAAGCGGCGGGAAATAAAATAGTTTTCAATGCCAATGTTTGATTTTGCATAATCAAAATGGCAGAAAACCCATCAAAGGGATCAAAAAAGATCTCGTCATTTACTATTGTATCAGTTGTTGTGTCATGTTGTGTGGGAAAGAAAAAGAGGGACAGTGTGGGTTATGCACAAACAAATTGACAAGCCCATTTTTATTTTTTTTGCGCACGGTTCCGATCATTATTTTATCATTATTTTTTTCACATTGTTATTTTTCAATATGAGGTTCTTTATTCTTTTTTTGCATTCAATGTATCTTAACATGTTAAATGTACCCTTATCATGTTAAAAAATGTTACCTTATTCATGGGTGAATGAGATTATTATGTAATGTAGCCCAGAGTTAAATTAATTTTTTTTTATTATAGAGGACCTAACAATAATCTATCATATCAACAATAAAATAGCATGAATAGAAAAAAAAGTCAAGTTTTTTTTTCCCTTTGGTTCAGGAGAACAAGAAATATTTCGTCTTGTTAGCAAAGATTTTTTTTTTGAGGGTAATAGTGGATTAGCTTTATAAGTTAATTAGCCAATTGTCGGCACAACAAAGCAGATTGACTTCATCATGCAGGTAAACGGACACAATCACGCTGACACAAAAGCAAAGAACTAAAACAAAGGATACCGAATTCATTATCCGATTATACTCCTTTCGGAAAAATAGTGAAATCTTTGTTTAACGACTTATCTTTGCATTTCAGGTCAAGTTATCATTTATTTTGATTTCAAAATCTCATAGAAATTTTCATCGACTAATGAGATCAGATAAAACAAAAATGCCTCAATTATGCTGTGATCCCAAAAAGATTTATTAGCCAAACACACCTAATAAAAAAATTGAATCAATGCAATTATATGAACATTTAGAATTCTATTTTGAAACTTTTATTGCGAGCAAGAGATTTTTCACCTATTATAGTTACATATAAATCAGCCACAAGCATCATAAGCACACCAAGGATAAAATGTAAAAGACGAAGAAAAACTCTGTCGCACCGCATTTTCTATACACATACAGACGCATAATCTAACTCAATACCAGATTAACATTTATGTCCACGTACGTGATACCCACTTGCCCAATATCAGAATCCTTTAAGCGGAAAAAAAGAAGAATATCTTCGAAACCTAAAAGAACAAAGTGTCCCCTCTTTAAGGTTCTGTTTCGATTAACTAGTATCAGGAAATGAACGAATTAGTCATGAAACATCCCCGTTTGTTGCATACTCGGCGTGTTCACAATCTAGGAAGAAGATCTCACGCAAAAAGGAGAAGAAAATTGAAATGTGCGTGTGTGTGTGTTTTTTAGTAAAAAATGTCAATTCTGACTAGAGACCGCATAGGAAATGAGATGCCAGAAGGCAATTGTTACTTAAAAGTACAAAATGAAAATTCCAAAGGTTACGTATTTCTTACGTTGTCAAACTAAAAAGACTAAACTACCACGATTCATTGTTCTATTATTCTTATGAAGAACAAAGAAAAAGACAGCGAATCTGGAAACGATAAAATGCTCTTGCATCAATGATAATTTGATTCTGGTGTTTCTTCTCTCTTTGATTAATCATTCTATATATGTTTTAGTTTAGGTTGAATTTGGTATTATGCGCGTGTGCATATACTATCTATGGAAAATTACATCTGATGATGTTGAATGATAAGTTCAATTTACATTAACACGTAAAAAAAAGACAAACGCCACTTTGCCTAATAAATAAACAATGATATTAAATTTTCAAATAACAGATAGATAACGGTATAATATATAATAATAAATACTATATATTAGAAAATTAAATTAAAAGTCTCTGACAATAATATTAACGCTGTATAACAAGAGCACAAAAAAACGTGTTTTTTTTTATTTCCCGTCTTGGACTTTATTGACAACAGTGTGGAAATGAACAACGCGAGGGGAGAAATTTCCGCAAGAATGATAAATGCAATAAGTAAAATAATGAAACTTTAATGATCACAAAAGTTACATATATCACCACCACGTTTTATCAAGGTAAACAAAGTGGGATAAAGATTATTCTGCAAGGAGAAAACAAAATTACCCGATTCTTATGCACCCTCAAAGAATGCGTAACACACTTTCACAAAATATGATAGCTATATAATCCTTTTTTTTTAAGCAAAACTTAATTAATTATTAATTATATACTTTAAATAGAAATTATTTATAACATACAAGCAAATCATTAATCAATGCTTAATAAAAAACGCGTGATATCATAGAACTGATTCTATAAAATTAATAGGGTTGAACATTTGGATTTTTGGACACTTGGATTGGACTGAATCCGAGTCCAAATCCGAATGTCACAAAAAAATCCTGGGACAAAATTAGTCCAAGTGTCAAGTATTATTTATTAACAGTCTGCTTTGATATTTTAATTTTTTGGGCTGATCCAAATAAATTAAGCAAATACAAGTAAGCTAATTAACTAGTTTTTCGTTAATTATCTGATCCGTATAGAAAATGAAGGTAGTCGGACTATTAGTAAAAACCTTTTGTAACCTTCGCTATATATCAAGATTTATTATACTAAAGTATCACACAATTCAAGCGTCAACCAAGATTATTTTATTTATGTGAAAATGCCAAAAAAGAACACGTTACAAATTTTGCTGCACATTATCGATATTGCATATACGTGTACAGAAACGGGAAAAACATACAAATTCATTTGTTTTATATTAGAAATAAGCTCGTTTGAACGCTTATTAATAGGGAAATTTGTGTTTACACATGCAAAGTAAACAAAAATTTCTGAGAAAAGTTTCGATAACAATCTCAATACTTGTGTATGTGCAATTAATTTTCACAACAAAAACATGACGCCACAAAATGATTCTGTGTTACAAAGGATAGTTTCTTTAAAGAAATGATATTCTGTCGAGATAAAGTTCCGGTTGTATAAGTATAAACCTCTAGGATTAGAACCCGAAAACAGATGCATAAATCTTAATGCTTTCGCAACATCATTCAGCTACATAATTGTGACAATTTCCTGAAACACTGTTCTATTATTAATTAAATCTTTATTAATTGTGCATCACATAATATCCGTTACATATCTGATCAACATACCCAAATCCCGATACCTAACCGCCGACATGCCAAAATTCAGACAATTACAAAATTATAGTGGCATAAATTCATCTTTACACCGTAATAAACATTGATGCTAGCATATATCGGGAAGGTTTTAATATAGTTTGGCATGACCCGAGGGCCAGAAATAATGTCATTTTGGCCCTCCCTTAAAGTTTTCGATAAAATTATAAATTTAACATCGATTCACAAGTAAAATTTCTGAAATTCAAGATTCGTAGCATGTCAGATTTTTGTCATGTTGGGAGGTTGGGTATGTCGGGATTTTGGTTATAAGTAGAATATTGGAAATAATGAAAATAGCCATTAGTTAATTAATGGTGATTATTATACGGTAAGTGGTAACAAAATCATGTAATTTGGGAAGTAGTAGAAAAAGAACTCAACTATTCTTTATGATGGCACCAAATAACCCTGTTGCATTTAAGCAATAGAAAATTAAGATTAAAAAATTGTGAGTCTAGTCAAAAGACCTTTAAGGACGTACATATACTCGAATAGTGTGTGTGTAAAGGAACAATTTGTTTGAGCTTTAACGTGTATTATTCTCGCTGAATATTGAACTTAAACATCCGATCATTGAATTGCTTTGATCAAAATCTCAGAAGAAACTTAAATGAATCTATTATTTGTGAAGAACAGTCAGGCAACAAATATATTTTTAAAACTATTCTGTTTAAGGCGGGCCAATTACAAACGTTAAGGTGTGAACTGCCGGCAGCTGAAGTTCCTTCATCTTCTTGAATTTTTCCCAGGGATTAAATGAATTATTAACTATGACTGTTCGATATTATTACAGGATTGAATAAATGATGAATTTATTATTTGCATATGTGTAATAATTATTTTTCATACTTTGTTTGAAATTATATTCAATAGCTTTATCAGAATTTAAGATTAAGCAAACTCCACAAGCGATCTTGAATTTTTTAAAAGATGAACTCATCCTCCCCTGTCTCATATTAACCTTTTCAACAATCTCCAATCAGCAAGTCTATTTGTTTAACTAATAATCCGAGTTTATTAGTAGTGCTCAAGAAAAAAATTTTATGCTTAGATAAGAAACACTAAATGACAAATCATTCCACAACTATAACTTTCATTTGTCACTTCAATCAGACAAATGAAACGAGTGTTGAAAAAGGGATAAGACTTTTTGAAATCCGCAGTGGATGACCATAACTCGTGAGGTTTTACCGTATTTACATTTGTATTTCATCCCAACAGATCTGAGATTTTAGTACACATTAACATTATTTCAAAAAGGGAAATATGTATTTTTTGAAATATGAAAAGTTACTTTACGTGGCTTATTTAATTTATGGTTATATATTAAAGAATTTGTTTAATTATGATTTATCTTTTCTTAATTATCATAATACTTTGTAGTTTCACTATGAATGTAATGATTCTTTTAGAGGTCAATTTTGAATAAAGAGAATTTACTCAAAATTCAATTTTTATAAATCAAAGCCACAAAAGCAAATATTTACAAGGATAGAAAAGATGATCGGTCAGCAGAAAAATTTTTTGGTTACATGTTCTGTGGGAAATAAGCCGAAAATAATTGAACTTTTAAAATTATCAATTTTTGTGAGATTAAGCCCAATTTCGGTTTTGATAAAGTAAGAACAAAAAAAATTTTAAGATTTTTGCGTTTTTATGAAAGCAAAAAAGTTCAAAGTCGAGATTGATTAAATGGACCAGAATTTTATAACACCAAAATTAAAAGTTAGCAATAGCATAAGAAGTTGACTTCGTGACTCTTATATATTTTTACAGGCAACTCCACTAATTTATAATACAAGAACTTTTAAGTTAAAAAATAAATAGTCTTCTGCATACATAATTTAAGCTTTTTAATAAATAGTTAGCTGCTTCTGAGGAAAATAATCAAGACACAGCATTCAAATAATGTGTGCTGAGTTAATTGTTTCGAAACTTTTATTTCTATATAATAATCTGCTAAAATAATATATCAAAATTAAATTAACAAGAGGATGAACAGAGCCAACAGAACGAGTGGATACACGAGTTATTGAATACATTCTCCAGAAATATTATTTACGGGAAGCTTATTTATAATGCTTTTTTCATATTTGTTTTGTTATAAGAAGGGATAGATTATGAATGAAGAAACTGAAATAAGGAAGAAAAATTTAACTAAATACGTCTTATACACTATAACACTAAAAAAATGAAGTCATCATGTAAAATGGGTGAGGTTACTAATTAATATATTAGCAGTGAATGCATTTAACCCTTGAAGGTTAGTATTATTAACTGAACCATTATTAGTTTAAATCATGTAACTTTATTCTTTTTAATTTCATGGCTTTCTTTTGGCTCGCAAGTAATTAATGTGTACACGTATATGGGGTGTGGAAGTCACATAAATTATTCACAAAATTATTTGCGTCTTTATGAATTTTTTGTATCATAGATGATGTCGTAAGTTATCTTACTTTTAGAGTTTTGCAGCCAGTTCTTTTTATACGACATTCTAAGAAAATTTTTCCTTTCGTAGTTCTATATAAGATTTCTGTTGGGGATTTTTTGTTATTGAAAATCCCTGTACCATTACATTTTTTGAGAAGTTTATGGAATTACGCTTAAATCTGGTAATTAGAGTGAATTTCTATAGTATTCAGAATTACAAAAATAATTAATTTTCTGATTTTGTAGGAATTAGTAAATCTAACAGAAGTTCATTGGCGCAGACTCTTATTACTTACAAATAATTTATATCTGAAATAACAAATCATTTTAGTGTTATATAATGAACTGCATCTCATTTTATTCCAGTAAAGTCAATTTTAAATATATTTATCGCTATATTTTTATTAAATATTATATTTGAGATACTTATTAAAGTTTCAAAGTAGTGTTTCATTGAATTAAATCATGAACACACGATAGATTCGTATTTATTTATTGTCTTTAATTCAGTACACCTTAGGTATTATTCTCTACCTCTTCCACATCCAACGTTGCTGGTTTCTCCATATCTATTAGGACAGTCGAGTCCAAATTTGCCAGCTCATTACGAGACTCTTTTAATTGCTCTACAGTTTCTTGCGAGTCTGATAATATTGAAGCGTAGTGCTCTTTATATGTGTCAAGGAATTCTTTCCTATGAATGTTAAGAGAAAATTTTTAGACAAACTTGATCGAATTTGTCGAGGTTAGGGTTACTTTTTTCCGTACTTGCGTTCTATTTGTCGATCTACGCCATGAAATACTTCAGTTTCATTCTGTAAGAGAGCATTTTGCGAGGCTTGAAAAAGAGTAGCATCCTGCCGCTGGTAATTTCGAAATATTGTCTATGATAAAAATAATCAAATTCTTTTAGTATTTAATAATAATTTGTAATAATTCTTAAATAAGTACCTCGCCAACCCTTTGTAATAGTGATCTTATTTCTTGATCTAATTTATCATCTGTAAAACTCTCTGCTTCATTTTTCTCTTCAGCTCCTATCTGGAAATCGTCATTGGTATATTTATTGCCATATTTATCCATTTGAACTTCTTCATAGTTCATTAATTTATTTGAAACATCACCAACATTATTTGAAGCTGAAAATAAATTTCTTTGTTTAGTTTCGAATATTTAGTGCAACTAATCAGTGGATAATAAAATTTAAATGCCTTCTCTTTCTCTTTGGCTATTATCAACGTCACTTTGATCACTATTTTCATTCGTAGATATTGCACTTAATCGCTCAAGAAAAGAAACTGAATATAATAACACAATGAAATCATGAATAAATCAATTAAATAAAATATCTCGAAGGAATGGTATTTTACCTTGCTTTCTTATTTGTCGTTGTTTATCATCATTAGTTTTTTTCCAGTTATAATCTAAGGAAATAAAAGTTAATAAAGGTTGAAAGGAACAAACAAATTATTCGACATGAAAAATATAATTAACATGATTTTGATAAATTTAAGCCTGAATTATCTTCATCTTCATGAATCGTAGATATGGAAGAGTTATCGTTTTCGAATTGAATTGGAAGATTAAACGGATTGTTATTAGAGTTTACTATTGGGCTTCCCTCATCGGTAACCTGCGTTTAAGAATTCATATATACATGTATACGATTAGACTTCTAGAGTATGCTCTCTTCAGCACATATACTCGCCTTCACTTCTTTTCCTATAGGTTGTTTTTGAGTGTGCTTTACAGTTGCTTTATTATTACGGATATCTTTGCCCACATTATTTTGCCTATAATCTGGAGGATTTCCATACGAGTCTATGTTTGAAACTGCAGCCTGAACCCGGGAGGATGTTAATGTTGTATATTTACGAGCAAATTGTTGCCTTTCATTATTATTAATTGGTAGATTATTTATTGTTGGATGAAACTGATTTTGTGCTTCATCGAAATTAACTGGAATAGGGTTTTCAAATTTTTTAGTTGATCTTGATTGCTCTATTTGCAATCTATCATTAATTTTTGAAGTTCGTCGAATTGGTTGGATGTCGATTATATCTTCAGCTTCATCTCTAACTTCGAAATTGAGAATATCACGAGTTTGCATATTTCCACGATTATCTGATTTTCCTGCCTTATTTCCTATATTTTTTGTTCTGTTAAGCTCAACATCATGATTTTGCGAATTGTTATTTTGCAGTTCTTTGTTTGCAGGATTATTGATGGTTGTATTCCTATTGAATTCTTTCCCATTATTAATATTCACAGAATTTATATCGTCGATTCTTTGTCGTTTCTTCGAAGCAGACAGATTTAACGGCTTCGTACGTTTTTTGGCAGGAAAATGTGTTTCGGCATCCGACTCAACATTCATAAATGGTAATGAGTCATTACGTGAAGGCGAATTGTTAATGAAATTTAAACTTGACTCCTGTAACGGCCTAGGTGAACTGGATGCATGTGAATCACTCTCCGGATTACTTCGTTGTGCTGCTTGAGATGTGCCAGCGTGAGGCTCAAGTTTATTTTCATTTTTTCTTAGTTTACGAGTTGGACATTGAACCATAGGAGTTTGTGATGCTTCAAGTGAACTACTTAGAGTGGCGAGTGCCAAAGCTGCATTGTCGATTGAAGCGTGCGGAGGATGTAACACGTTTACAGAAACTGATACTTTTGGTTGCACGTGATAACTCTAATGAAACCAAATTCAGAAACAATAAATCTTAAAAACACATTTAAAGACTCAAAAGTCGCCTACCACTTTATGACTTGAGAAAATCTTAGTTAGACTATCTTTGACATTGCCTTCTGAGGAAGCAATTGTCATAGATATTATAAACTCGCCATTATTATTAGTGTGTTCTGTGAGCATTTCATCACTCTCGCCAATTTTAATAGATTCCGTTAAATATATTTTAAGAATTTGACCTACAAGAATATTTCAATTAGTGAAAGTATTTAATTCGGTACCCATAAGATTAAGTTAATAAGAAAGCATACAATAAGACTCGAATACGGTCTCCCAGCTATTGATTTTTTGATAATTTATGTCAATGATGTCATACCCCTCATCTTCTGTCTCCTATTAATTTAAATGAGTTTAATTCTTTCTGTTAGTAAAAAAAAATATTACAAATGAATTATCTTTTACCACATTCATATTTGATGTTTGAACTGTCATAGAAATTGTCCATTTATTGAAATCGACGAAAAAACAATCTTGTCTGTCTGGCCGACCAAATTCTAATTGACTGTATTGTATTCTCGTAACCTTGATTGTCTTTGGTCTGAGTAAGATTTCGTTTTAATGTACAAATGTAATTTTGAAAAGTTAACGTCTTTCGAACTTACGCTTTGGACCAGCCATCGTTTCCATAATTGAGCGCATTAAGAAAATTACGAGTATCCTTATGAAAATATTTGAAGTAATTAGAAATGTATTCTCAATTCGCGTGACGTATTCATGTTCTTCACCTGCACAAAATCATCGGCAGTTATTCCCAGAAAAAGATCGGTCAATTGAAAATTACCCTTGAATGCTTTATTTGCAAATATTTCGCGATCTTCTTGTATTCTAGGGGACAAACGAAATAGTATTTCGAGATGACGAAATTGAAGCTCGTAATCTGTAATTATGTGATTTAAGAAAAAATTGCATCATATTTTCTTACGTTCAAGCTCAAAATTAATTTTAATTACCTCCAGCTGATTTCATAGATAAGGCAAGTGTATATCTGAAAACAATTAGACAATAATTAAGGCAATACATATGCGTTGCTGATGTTTAAGAGATTTAATAAATTCAAAAGGATACATATCAAGCATTTTTCCATGACTTAGAAATTTTTTATTTTCTTTACAACCAGTCAGGAGAGTATTGATCAAATCTGAAGTCTGAAAAGTAGGTGTATTTGAAATAATAACTTTGCTACCACAACAAATTAAACCACTTACCATTCTACGGATTTCAACATTTAATGTTGACTTTAATAACACTTCTGTGAATAGTTTCAGAAATATTTTTCCCATAGTTTCTCGATCTTAAATTACAGAGAACGAAATCAGATTATTTTATAACACATATAGAAAAATAACTCGAAATGTTTACCAATAGTCATGTCTATGATTGTAGTCTAGTAAAGACAAAATAAATGGGTTATAATCGTATTTTAAAAATCGACTAAATATCACGAAATCGCATACCTCAATCAATCCCAATATATTCAGAATTAATTTTTCCCAATTCTTTTCCGGTTGTTTCTCGAATATCTTACTATCAACAATAATGCCAATTACAAAGTTTATGATATCCATAACCTTCTTCGTCACAATTTTAAGGTGATTATATTTCTTTAATAAACTTTCCAAAGAAAGAACGTTATGTTGTATTACATCGGGAGTAACGTTATAAATGTATTTCGGTTTGGCCAACTTTAAAATGCAAAAAAGTCCTTTAGAGCCAATTATTGTTTAAGAACAGCTGGATGTGGGCTACCTCATCTTTGAGTCGAGTGACAATGTCCTGCAGAACTTTTTGTATCCTTCGATAGTTTAAAATAAAAAAGGGTTTGACTTAATTCATTTTATAAATAATAACGGAATATTTCATTATCTAATTACTGTTTAGAGGTCACATTTTCTTTCTTGGGAGGTCTCCCACGACGCCGAATATCATTTTGAGCTGGTTTTGGCTCAAGAAGCGCATCAAGCTGAGCAAAAGCCTCTTTAATTGGCTCAGAGTTGTTAGACATTTTATTCTAAAGTTCTGAAAGCGAAGGTTTATGGAGACGAGTATTATTTGATTGAAATAATAAATTTTGAATGATATAGTAAATCTAATTTAATTAATGTGAAATATATCAAGCTCGATTTCAAAAATTGAATACATTATAGCGAGATCAGACACGTATTTTTATTTCGCAGTTATTTCTATTACATTTACTCTAAATATCAAAAGCTATTTCCAGAAAAAAACTAAGAAAAATTATTAATACGATGTGTCGTCGTAGTTGAATATAGTTCTATCCTATTCGAACTTTTAATTGAACGAATTCTATTTACACGAGAATTCTTTTGAACGTTTCTTTAATAGCTTTTCGGCAAACTAGTACATTTGGTAAGCCAATTTTTGATTGACTGATGTTTTTAAATTCTAAGAATAGAATTATACAAACATTATTCAAATACAGTGTGTGACAAAAAAACTTAACTATTTTCTGATTATATTAGATAATAAATAAATATCTTTAATTTTAGCTTA